TTAATTCACAGTGTCATGAAATGAAGCCCAAACGGCTTTATGGTCTGTAAAATATGTTTCAAAAACACCTACTTGGACATCCAAGTGGGATATGTTTGTGGGATATGTTTGTATATATGTGATCAATACCAGTTTTGTTGTCAGTTGTACAAGTTGATATCAACTGCTTGAAACCTTTATCTCTTATTAGTAAATTATACAATGGTCTAGTACGTACCCTCCTGACAATCCCACCCAGGATCCTAGGTGGGAACGGTGGGATCTTGGGTGGGAATTCGGGTGGGATTTCTGCATCCCACCTGGGAGTTTAGGCTGGACTTATGCATTCTACCCGGGATCCCACTTGGGATCCTTTATCCCACCAAGGAAAATACTCTCACTCATGATCTTGGGAAGGATCCATGCAAAGAAGTGGCGCATCTCACCTACATGTATGGCTTTTAGGTAAGATAATTCCAAAAGATGTTCAGTGTGTCTCTAACATAAAAGGCACAAATGTATTTAGTCTCCTTTGAACCCAATGATTCTGGCAGCCATAAAAGGTACATGTAACTATATATTCTACATGATATTTACCTAAGCGCCAAGGACAAGAACTAAGGCACGACCAATTCGTATAAGGGTTTAATCAAACAGGGACACAACTAGCTGCCGAGTAACAGTGGCATTACAGCTGATGCGAAGCCACGATCGATCCAACGAAACGCATGCTAAGTACCGCTGACCGGTACTGGCAAACAGTTTTTATCTGTTCCATGATCCTAATCAAATGTCCTGCTCAAGGTTCTGAAATTATTTACATGAAAAAGCACCGTGGCACTTGATAGGAATTCCCAACTATGCAAATAAGCTCTGATTTGAAAAGCTTGGAATTACTGGTAAAGAAAGAATGGAGAAGGAAGAATCCTCTTCAGTTTTGCGAGGACTTAGAATTCCTAGGAATTCCTGGGAATTCTCAGCTATACAGCATTCTTAAAATAACTTTTAAAGTTTTCATTGAAGGTAAATTAATGTCAAATAAATGTGAAAGTCCTGTCTGACAAGACAATTACCCGAATTCTTAAGGATAAGATTTTCTAAATTTAAGCGTGTGTATGCTTTTCTTATGCATGATAGCCTGAAAGACAATTTGGTTTGTAGTCGAACTCATTTTCGTTCAAAATATGCTGGAAGAGCATGCTTGTTAAACCCCTGAAATCACATTTATTTGGGTTTCCATGGTTGATGTCAATGATGTTTTTATCCAACATTAGCTTTGGATAATATTTTTGTAATGTTATAGAAAATATTCCAGAACGTTCCACTATTTACCTACTCATGTTTAGTGCTGCTGATATTGTTTAATACACAAAATATTATGTAATCATCGAAGAATATTCTAGAATATCCGGAACTGTTAAGAATGTCTCTTTAAATAAAGTTCACAACAGGCGGTTGTTGTTATCATTCGGTAAGCTGTCAATAAAACTGTGTGTGTTGCAGACTTACGTAATTAATAGCAATACAACGTTTGCTTGTCCAGCCATTCTATATGTTGTCTGCGAACCAAAAATAACTGCTAAGTAACTGCCAATAAGCGGGGATCATAACAATATTACTATGCATTTTTTTCCACGAAAAACAGGAATTAGAAGTAGTTGACGTCATCCGGCCATCCGAAGCTTTATTTCATTCAGTTACAGCTTTGATCACAAAAATAGATTTTACTAGGATCATGTTTTATCAAGATTTGGTATCCGCCGCATTCACAGCGGTTTTTGGTAGAGGGCTTCCTTCAAATTCTATTCATCAACTTTTCAGTCAAACTCACCTGAACACGGTTCCCTTATGGCAGCCACCGTCATCATCGCCTTTCCGCGCTATCACGAGTTCAGCTCACAATGGAATAATTGTTCAGAATCCCATCCAAAATATCGTAGTTGACTACGTAGATCTAGCAGAGCTTGATCCTCGATTCCATTTTGATTTCCAGAACGTCATACGTCCTTATTGGAACTGCTTTAGAGGGAACTATAACTATCCATATCAACGACCGTACGGTTGGTACAGAATAGCTTTAAACGTTCTCGGAAGATACCAGGACGGCAACATTTGGCTCGGTCCTAACGGTCTACGTAATGCACCAGTTAAAGGAGAATGGCCCGTCTCTTATCACGGTACAAATATCGAGTTCGTTCACAACATCATAAAACAGGGTTTAAGGCCCGGCCCGAGTGCAAGGTTTGGCATCGGCATCTACAGCAGCCCCATTATTGAAATGATTGAACGGATGGGTTATGCAAAGGCTTTTAAACATAATGGTAAAGTTTACAAAGTTGCGTTACAAAATCGTGTCGATCCTGATCACCTCCAGATTATCCCAGCCGTATTTACAGGTACTGGAGCTGACTACTGGCTGTCACAATCTGGAGGCATACGTCCTTATGGTGTGCTCATCAAAGAAGTTGCAATTGGATGCTAATTCTTAGAACACAACAGCGACGCCAATGAATGAGGGAGAAACATAATATATATAATCGGACGATACAATTTCCTTGACGCAAAATTTGCAACTCTCACACATTCCTGTTAGCATGAATACGATATTCAGCCTCATACATATGCGGAAAGTTCCTGAGTTAAAGGATTATAGCAAACACATTCTGGCTCGCAAAATCAAACGAATATTGTCAGACGAAATCATTGACCATGACAAAGGACCAGCATGAGTCGCGTCCGCTTCCTCAACAAGCGCACTAACAAATCACACGTGTGAAATACAAAGTGTGAGATCCTAAGAGATTAACCAGAGTTACACAGAATGAAATAAGCTTGGATGTAAGTGGAATTGTGTAATGGAGAACCGAGTGATTAAAGAAAAGCAGAAAAAGACAGTTTGAGAGTCTTAATGCCTTTCGCCGGGCGTGGTGTGCTCGATAGCTAGTTTACCCTCCCTCCCCCGTTATAGTTTGACATACTTGGTGGAGGATTGAGTCGTAACACAGTAATAGGGACCTTTAGTAGTCAGGACGGCAACGCCAAGGAAGACTTCCATTAAAAAATTAATTTCTGCCGTTAATTAGAATTTCAAACATGGCTGCATTTGTTTACCGTCTCATACGGCGCCACACCTCAACTTCAGCATAACGTATAAAAGAAGCATTGAGTTCCAAATATAAATTAAAATAATTTGCCGTCGCGGTTTCGGTTCGCAGACGACGCAAATTGTGTTGCTTTCACGTTGTTGTTTTGCATAGGATGGCTAAGAAATGTACAAAGTTTTAAAACGCACGTGTTGAGTTATTGTTCTGTCTATTAGATCTTTTGTCTTCCATGTCCTCATTGCCGTCGCCGTCGTGATTTGCTTAGGGTCCCTATTAAGACGCGTAGAACTCCATCCTGGAAACGTTAACGATCCTATTTGGATAATATTTTCTCCGTTAGTGATTAAACTAACAACCCTAGTGTTCCTTCAGAAGTCGCCGGATTACTACTTCCCCGACTTAGGCTTGCCAGGAACCACGGAAAGGGTGTGTTATAACGGGAACACGACCACAGTCACGGGTAACGGGACATGTGAGACTGTGCTGTGGGCGCGGGTCCAACACGATCCAAGTCGAGGAGGATTACAAGTGCAATTGCAATTTTGTCTGGTGTTGTGATGTGAAGTGCAGCACGTGTAAAGGAACTGTTGGAGAAAACTTCTGTAAATCGCCCAAGGAGTATATTTCTGAAGGAAACAGTAAGCTCGAGAAAGACGCAGAAACGGCGGGTAAACAATCGCGAAAAAGAAAGAACAAGGGACAAAGTGTTTTACCTCGCTCTGACAACAACAATCGAGAAGTGAAGAAGATCAAAGGTTAATACCTCCCATTGAACTAGAGAAGACTGACAAAGGAATGACAACAATGAAGTCGGTGAAAAAGCACAATAGACAGAGAAAAATTCTATGTAGTTACAAAGTAGGCGAGTTTCAGCAAGTGCTGTATGTGCTTTAAAGTCATTGTGTCATCGAAAACAGTAACCTTTCTTTGCTTTTCAATAGAGACTTTGGAGGTTAACAGTTTGGCATAAGAAGCTCGACACTATACCCTGCATTCAGTTAGGCATTGTAAATAAAAACACAGTTTTCCATATATATGTTTAAACTTTTTTTCGTAGCCTTTTGCATGGAGATCATGGAAGAAATAGCTACGAACTCTTTGCAAAACTTTTAAAATATTAAAATATCGACTAAATAATTCATTAACTCATTTCCGTCAAATTACAACAACAACAAAAAAATTAGAATTCAACGTTGTTCGCGCCAGCTTTGGTGTAACCGGTCGGTACCATTTCCAGAATAAATCTTTCATGACAGTCAACGCACTTCAATCTTGATTCAGTCATTGCCAGAATGGATAGCGCAGAAATCACTTATCTGTTTATATACCTTACCCTCCCTACCCCCACATCTATGGATTTATCCATGCGCAAACTGAAATAAAATCTTTCTAACGGCAAGCTGACTGTTCTGCTGGTTAAACGGCTCCATCAGTGCTTCGACACTTATAAAGGGGTTAAGTCTTTAAAGAAACTGTTGTAGTGCGTCAGCGGGGGAGTATAACAAGATAATGCACAAATGCTACTCTTGTCGCGAATACTTCATGTTCATTAAGTCACATTGAATGCGTCAAACCGAAGCTCGCTATTTTTTTATGCTGAAGATAATTACCTTCCAGCTGTTTACATGATTTAAAAATTTCGTCTTTTTAATAAACTAGACTGAAACATTTCTCCGCAAGCACATCTGCAGGTTAACGCGAGCTAAGAAGTATAAAACAACCTTTTTGGTTTTTAATGGTGGTGGTGGTGAAGGGGGATGTGGGGGGGGGGGGTGGGGAGGGGGTTGCATTTACTTAATGCATGGATTTCCGCTAAAAGCCGACCAATCAATTTGTACGAGTAGATGGTAAACAACTAATGTTTCCACGAATAACAGGAAGAAGAGTTAAGTGTCACGCTACATTAGCATGAAATAATTCACCTGTATTCGCTGAAGACGAGCTGGTTGTCGAGAGAACCTTTCGATAATGTCAAATTTGGATTTGCTGAATGCTGGATTCGCAGCAATATTCGGTGAAAATGGCCTCCCTTCGAGTGACATACACGAACTGTTCGAAGCAACCTACATCATGGAACCTTTTCCTTCTCTAGGAGCAAGTGGAGGTTGGTCTAGTCTGAGAAGGCACATGATAGATGTGTTTGTATACGGCCTACAAGGCGAAATATTCACTGTTAAAGTGCTGAACACGTGCACAGTCAGCGAGTTAAAGGCTACTATTGAAGAAGAAACAGGAATATACGCGAAAGTGATGGGTCTGATTTACTGTGGCAAGAGACTCGATGATAGAGATGAAACCCCTTTAAGCAGCCTTGGAATTTGTCATGGCAGTAGCGTCTTCTTAGTGCTGGGTTTACGTGGTGGTGGCTTGCCTCATCATAGTGTTGATCCTGACGGGCTTGATCCCCAGTACGATTTTGATTTTAGTAACGTCAAAGATGACGGTAAGATATACATGAGAGGAGGGCATCAATATCATCGACCATACGGTTGGAAAAGAATAGCAGTCAAAGTTGTTAGCAAGTTCGGTTACAACGAATGGCTCGGCCCAAATGGCATACGCACCGAAGGAGCTCCAAACGAATGGGCGGTTTCTTATCACGGCACAGCGATTGAGAACGCTGACAAGATCATCAAAGAAGGCTTCAAACCTGGTCCTAGACAACTGTATGGCAAAGGCGTTTACAGCAGCCCCAGTATTGAAATGGTTGGAAACCAGTACGCACAACCATTTGACCACAAGGATAAGCGTTACTTAATTGCTTTTCAGAACCGTGTTAATCCTAATCGTGTCAAAATCATTTCCGCTGAAAAAACAGGTGTTGGGGCCGATTACTGGCTCACACAGAAAGGCGATATTCGTCCCTATGGTGTGCTTATTAAAGAAGTTAAATGAACGTAATCCTTTTCAAACCATTCCAGTGCTCACACGCCCGTGATTAAGTTTACACGAATTTCGCGACCCTCAGGCAAGTTCACTGATTTACATTTGCTAGTTGCTCGAATGTTTCAAGGATAAAATTCTCCTTAAAGTTTAACTTTGCTTGTCCGTAGACTATTTAAACATTATTGGAAGAACAATTTTGGTTTTTAACAATGGTGGTAAACGTAAAAGCGTAGTGTAAGGAATGCTTAAACTCATGCCGGAAGGGCATGCATGTTTAACTGGCTTTCCAAGGTTGATGTGAACGGTAATTCTTTTATTCAACTTAAGCTTCAAAAGCATATTGTTGTATCGTTCTAGAATACATTTCAGATCATTCTGTTATTTACCTTGTCATGTTTGATCATGCCGATACTGATAAGCTGAAAAAAAAGCCCCCAAAAAACTTCTAAATATCATTAAATAGTTTTCAGTAATAAGAGAAAAATTTCCGAGAAATCGCTCTGCTCCTAACTTATTGTAATGATGTCAACCTTACGACTAGAGCTAAAACTTCTCGATGTATTTACAAGTAATTAAATTGAAAACAAACTGCTGATTTGGATTTTCTAGAGCCACTCAAATCTGAAAATGTTCATAAGGTTAAAAACATCTGATGCCGTCATTTCTTGCAAGCTTTCCACTTCTTCAACGAAAGTTGGTTCGCTAAAAATTGATTTAGCTGGTGAGAATTCTTTATCATGGCATTCGAATAACTTCGCCACTAATCATTTTTAGACTCTGCCGGGTCTCCAATGCGCTTAGGAAATGGAACTATCTGAGTCATTTTCTGTTGTTCTGATGGTTCTGGTCTTGATTTGGTTAACATTAGGGTTAAGAACATTCCTAGTTTTTTAAAAAAAAAAAAGCTCCCTTGCGAAGTTATGAAGAAATAAAGCCCGAAAGCTTCAGGCTTCGACAGAATTCAAAGAGTAGAGTAGTAGAGTAGCGTAGTCTATATTAACTTTTCTCTAATGCGGTTTATTATTAAACCTTGCGGAGGACTTTGGCTGGACTGCGTCGAGGAGTTTGCAATTTTTGGAACGAAGTGTTGCAATTGTCCCCGATTTCGGAATTAAGGCCAGGCCACAACAGAGTGAGCTACATTCCCTTCTCTTCTTCCCTTGCTGACCAGTTATAGCGACTTGGGGCCGAGATGCTGCCACATGAAACCTTCAAACATCCTTAGATGGCTGGCTAAGTGGCTGAAGTACTCTTATCATGTGACCGTACGGCCCTGCGCGCGAAATCCCCTAGAAAATCTTAGTAAAAGCTGTAACGTGAGCAGGTTCAGAAAAAGCCGTCCCGGCCCTGCACTCACACAGCTTTGCTACAAAAACTTGGATGAAGCTTCTTGTCTCGGGAAACCTTACTTCCAGAGGGCAAACTAGTGATAGGCTGCTTTGCAGAAGCTTTTCATTCCAAAATTAAATTCATCAGCTCTTATATCACATTGTGCCTTTATGCACACCTCAAGAATGTCTCTGTCCAGAAAAATGTTGTGAAAGGCTCTGTAAGAATTGATGCATTGGTGCTTCTTACAACATACATTGTCTTGCTCTGTTTCCATTGGTAAACAAACCCGGCACCTGCACCATGGAAGGTCAGTTAGAGGTGTGGGTTCTTTGGATAGTAAACGTGTAAACGAACATCAGGTTTAGGGATAGAACCACAATTCCATTTGTAAGCATCAGATTTACCGACTGATGTATAATTACCAGGACTGCTCGACTTCAGCCTCCAAACGATTGCGGCTCCATCAGGAGCGACATTTTTCTGGCTTCTTTGTGCGATTGCTGCTGTCGAAAATTATTTCTAATCAAAAGCTAGAAGGATAAATAAAAAACTGTAATCAAACTTTCATTTGTAAGCTTCTGTATCATACATGATTTTTGCACTTGGACTTGTCACATTTACAAGCGTTAGCACAATTGAGGTCGGCTGTTTTGCAAGGACACGCTCCTCTTCCTCTCTTCTGCGCACATTGCCCCGAACAAGAACAGGTCACTCTTTCATTTTCTTTTTCCTGAAGAAGAAAGAAGCAATTCAGGTGCTTTAGTAGAAAATAAATTCGGTACCGCTTGCAATGGCAATTCGAAATATCTCACCTCGGCAATTATTATGTATAAGTCTTCTTCCTCGTCGTCCTTGTTCGAGTCCAATGAAGAACCATAATAATTAACACGAGTGTCTGCCACCTTCTGGAAAGCTATCTATGAAGCACAAATCCACCAAACCAATCAATATGAGCTATCAGCTGCCGAGCAAGGTAAAAGATACGACTTTCGATTCGACATGAAACAGAGGAAACCCACAATAAGCAAAGAGCCAATCAGAAATGATACCGTGAATTCAAAACAATAACAAACGGCCGCAAAGCGAGTGGGTGATACTGGGCTTTTATGAAGAATGTCATCAAAAAATATTAAATACAACGACTGTGAAAATTCATTAATCAGCAACGAACAGATATATCATAAAATCAAAACTATTGAAAGCGTTAATTATGAACTTGGTAGTTACGAACTGAACAAAGCGTCGCTATCCTGCTTTGATAACATGCGTTACATACATGAAGATGGCGAGACAATTAAGTTACGCTTATGGACACTACTAAACTTTTCGAGAAAATTTTACTTTAAAAATGAATTTTACAAACCAGAAAGATTTTTCCCATTGTGCAGACAAAATTTGAAGGTTATGATTGGTTAAAAAAAAAAAACAGACCATCGTTGACTCGTATCCTCGGGAAAGTCCCTGTTTGAAAGAGGTCAACGCGTAGGCGGTATGTTAATTTTCTTTATCTCTCAATTTCTACTGGTGTGACATGCAACGTCTTTCTTCAATATATTATGAGCGCATTTTTCGGAATCCAACTGTCTCTATTTCACTCTGAATTCTTTCTCTTTCATTATATAATGAGCGCATTTCTCAGAATCCGACTGTCTTTATTTTTCTCTTTCATTATAACATGAGCGCATTTTAAGGTGACGTGACATAGTAACATCGAACGGTCCCCAGTAGAATAGGAGTCGGGTGGTTGGCGCGACAGTTTTTTTCGAAACTGCGCTCCCACCTTCAACTTCTATACTACTGACTAGGCAGGGAAGGGTAGGGGGGGTTGTATTTACTAAAAATAAAAGAGATGGCCCCTGTACAAAAATTTTAACTTTGTTTCCGACTTCCGCAAAAAGCAGAACCAATCAGTTGGCCCGATGGTAAACAATGAATGTTTTCAAGAATTATGGGAAAGGATTATCTAATGTCGTAATATGAGCCGTAAATTTTATCTATCCGGTGAAGACGAGCTGGTTCCGTTCACTTACGAAGTTCATATTGAAAACCTTCAGATTTTGCCCCCAAACGCGGATTTGCTAGTTGCTGGATTTTCAGCAATTTTCACTGAAGATGGCCTCCCTTCGAATAACATACAAGAACTGTTCTTAACAAGTTACGGGAAGACACAATTGGGGCTAGCTCTGAGATATAATATAAGTTGCAACTAGATTCTTTCCTTGAAAGATCTCGACTGTAGCGGGCTTGATCTCCAATACGATTACGCAACTCTTTTAACCAATCAGATGCAAAACTAAAACCACTCACGACTTCGTACGTGCGTTTTCCCGCGCTTTAGGTAGTTTGATCAGTTTTATGTTGAGTTCCCATTGGTTCTTAAAGGTTTTTTTTTCATGTCTTGTGATTGGCTGTTGTGATTGCATGTATTTTGGTTTTGGTTTTACGGCTCATTCGAAAAGCCCTTCGTGTCAGGTGATAGGACCACATTGAATGCATACACTTAAATGCAGAATATTTACAAAAAATTTATCATCATCAACGTTATTTTGCATTATGTTGATATTATAAGCTTTGAACACAACGGCCAATAATATCGTGTTGACGGATATTATCCCCTAAATCTGCCTTGGAAAAAACCGTTTGGTGAAAATGTCTTTTACAAATAAGACAATTTAGACTAATCGACTAAACGTACTTTTGGTTCATACAACGTTGAGACAGTGTTGAGCGTCTTTAGTTGACTATACGAAAACAAGGGAACAACAGATTTATATTTTAAAATCATAATTTTTTTATCATATCAAGTAACTGACTATTTGGTTTGGCTTTCTTCGCTTTTTAAATGTCGTTAACATACAACATCTGTAGAAATCTCTGAATGAATTAATGAGTCATACCAGGTACATGGGATGAATCTGACGGAAACTTAACAGACAGGTGTAGTTTCCATCACCACTGCAGTTGAAGATAAGCCACTGCCGCTGAAGAAAATACAAATATACTTCATGATCTCAGATTAACCTCGGGGATTAACAGAAGATACGTAAGTCATCTGTCGAACTTGCATTCTTTATTACTCTTAAGTGAACGGCATTCTGCAAGGTTGGTCGGTGTCTTTGAAGCGCCCATGCAAAATCTCTAGGAGATACCCACTTGTCCATATTGCTACGGGAACCGCGCAGACTACTGCCACAAATGTGTGCCTCCTCCATCTTTTTCGCCAAACAGCCACGACGGCCATGTTCTGATAGTGAATCACGATCGCTAGAGACATGCTAGTGAAAAACCACTCAATCATCAATAAAATTGAAGTTCGGATGGCGAACGACTGAAGCAATTTTACAAGTGGATCACTTTGTAGGTAAATAGCTTCATAGAGGTAAAAAATGCCATTGACAGACACTACACCAATTGATTCATACAACATGCTCATAATGGCGATATCAGCCATTAGTCTCTCACGGCGAGGAGTGCGAAAACTTCCCCAAGGTGCTGACGTTCTTTTCCAAATAACATGGCCGTAGTGGTCAATAATGATCATAAAGCTTCGTTCTAAGACCTCCGAAATTCCATGAACTATTCCAAGAATAGCCATAGATCGCAAACTGTCTAGATTTGCTTGTAAAACTCGAAACACAATCGCTGATCCGAAGTACAGCGGCGCCAGTAATACGTATGAATATCCCGGATGTGTAACGTTCCTTAGCCGCTGAACAGAAATCCTGCAAATTACTTTGAGTACAAATCCAACCAGAGGAGCGAGGATGGCAATCAGTAATTTACCTTCGTTTTTTTGTTTATTGTATGCCGGGTAAATTGTGTAAATTGTAATGAAAGTACAAATGTAAATGAAACAGCTTGGAAGAATCAGTTGTAAGAATAAATAAACTCGTTGCCTCCTCGAAAGGCTGACCGAAAAGTGGGTCGTTAAGAGATAAACTTGCAAACACGCACTAAGAAGAAACAGAAAGTTGAGGGGAAGTTTCGGTGATGTGAATGCCTTGGACTGTGAAACTTCAAAGGCCTGTAGTCCGACACGATAAAGGGCATCCAAGCAGTATCCTGAGAAAGCAGCAAGCGCTAGTTTTATTTTCACTCCGATTAACTGGTAAGGACGAAATAGAAGTAACATACTCATAGGGAACCACATGTATAGAAAGGCAGAAGACAAGATCCCGGATATACATTTCATCCATTGTATCTGTGACGGAATTGACTCAATGGTGTGGAACGGGCAGTCGAGTGCAGTTTCGTAGGTGAGATAAGTAAACGACAAGAATAGAGAGCCGATGATTGTTGCAGTTAGTAATGAAATCAAAGTTCCAGTATACAGTGATTTCCAAATTGTGTGACAAGTGGAAGGTCTGAAACTCTTCCAAGCCATTGCTCTGTTATCTCCTCGCTGTTCGCCTCGTGTTTCTTCCTTTCCTTGGGGGGTGAGCAAGCGTCTATAACTCTTACAGCAATATTTCTTGACGGCATATAAGAGGAGCCAGCTGTGTGCCCTCTGTCGCTGTATTCTTGATAAATGAACTCATCCAAGGGATGATAGTTCCATTCTCGACCTGTACTTTCTAATGGATTGTAGCCTAAGGACTCTGTCGTGAACTCTGGTTCGTCCGGGTTGTAAAACGCTATCACGCCATGCGTAAAACTGACTACCATGTGACCAAACACCTCTAGAGTGCTTGTACTCATGCTGGAAGGATTTGGCGATGAAATCCACCACAAGTTAGCGTTAGAAGACTTCGACCTTTTCTAGGTAAACATTACTCACGAAAGTGAAATGATAACATCATGCGTTTCATTTTGGGTAAAGGTACAACTTTGGGCCACGAAAGCGAATATGTTGAACAAAGTAGGAATGTACAGCTCAATGAAAAAGAAATTTGCGGCGTAAAATCAAGGAAAGGCGTCTAGTTCTCAACCAAACCGGAGGTGATAAGGTGGCTGAAGTGTAGGATGTAAACATTGAGGCGACTTAACCTTGAAAAGACCTACAGACAATGTTATAAGTTTGCAGGTCGCTGTGCAACAAACTGCCTCAACCCTGAATTTAAGGAAGGTTCTTGCTGTTTGCTACCAAAAGAATCCAAGTAAAGATCAACTATAGCTGGGATAAAAATGTACTGCCGATTCCAGAAGACAAATTACCAGATCAGAGATGGAAAGAAGTCCGAAACGAGTCTCGAAGCTGGGGGTGAGCAACATTTTGAAGCAGAAGAAATTTGGCGAAGTTCTGGAGGCTTTCGGCCCAGAAGGTCCCGGAAGTTGCACGCCTTGTGTTTTTCCTTTGCCTTTGGAGAGACATCAGTGCAAAGTGGCGAATTAACCGTTGCAAAACCCCGCAAAATCATTCGAAAAATCGCTCTCTTAATTTAGTTCTTAGGAACGTGTGTCGATTGAGTAAGGAATTAAAAATAAAAAAGCTAATCAATGGACACGAACGTTCTTAGAAACGTATGTTAATTAGGGAGCAAAAATGACTTAGCTAATTAAAAAACGCAATTGGTTTTTATTATTCTATATGTTTTTAGTTTCTCTAGTGCAACGCAGCTGCCTTGCTACAAGCTAAGCCACCCACCCCCTCCCCACAGATATAAGCTCAGTTTCAGCTTACAAGAAAAATAATATAAATGCACGGAAATGTAAATTCTGCTTTCGATTTCCCCAAAAAGCCGACCAATCAATTTGCCCGCTTGGGTGGTAAACATCCGATGTTTCCAAGAATAACAGGAGCGGAGACTTAAGACTATATAAGCCATAAATTATTCATCTTTATTCGCTGAAGACGAATTGGTTGTGTTCATCTAAGAGAGAAACTTCAGAAAATGTCAAATTTGGAATTGCTGAATGCTGGATTTGCAGCAATATTCGGTGAAAATGGCCTCCCTTCGAGTAACATACACGAACTGTTCGAAGCAACCTACATCATGAAACCTTTGCCTTCTCTGGGAGCAACTGGAGGTCGGTCGAGTTTGAGAAGCCGCATGATAGATGTGTTTGTATACGGCCTACAAGGCGAAATATTCACTGTTAAAGTGCTGAACACGTGCACAGTCAGCGAGTTAAAGACTGTTATTGAAGAAGAAACAGGAATATACGCGAAAGTGATGGGTCTGATTTACTGTGGCAAGAGACTCGATGATAGAGATGAAACTCCTTTAAGCCGCCTTGGAATTTGTCATGGCAGTAGCGTCTTCCTAGTGCTGGGTTTACGAGGTGGTGGCTTGCCGCATCATAGTGTTGATCCTGACGGGCTTGATCCCCAATACGATTATGATTTTAGTAATGTCAAAGATGACGGTAAGATATACATGAGAGGAGGGCATCAATATCATCGACCTTACGGTTGGAACAGAATAGCAGTCAAAGTTGTTAGCAAGTTCGGTTACAACGAATGGCTCGGCCCAAATGGCATACGCACCGAAGAAGCTCCAAACGAATGGGCGGTTTCTTATCACGGCACAGCGATTGAGAACGCTGACAAGATCATCAAAGAAGGCTTCAAACCTGGTCCTAGACAACTGTATGGCAAAGGCGTTTACAGCAGCCCCAGTATTGAAATGGTTGAAAACCATTACGCACAACCATTTGACCACAAGGGTAAGCGTTACTTAATTGCTTTTCAGAATCGTGTCAATCCTCATCGTGTCAAAATCATTCCTGCTAAAGAAACAGGTGCTGGAGCTGATTACTGGCTCACACAGAAAGACGATACGCGGCCCTACGGTGTGCTTTTTAAGGAAATCGTAAAAGGAGAATGTAACATTTCTTGAAATATTCTAGTGCTCACAAGACCTATTTTAAATCGTCACTCTCAGGCAAGTTTGGTGGTAGCTTGAATGCTTTATAGATAAGTTTTCCTTCATTTTCAACTTTGCTGATTGGGAAATTATTTATACATTCCAAAAAGAAGATTGATAATTTTTAGATATAGTATAAAATAAAGTAAAACTAGAAGCCGCAGAGGCCTTCACTGCTTATGGTTATCCAAACATCGCTTAAATCCACTGCTGAATAACAGCAGCCAAAAAGCGACGATATCTCTCCAAAATCGTTTCTTCTTTTGGAAATAGAAACAGCTTTTCGCCATATATTTCCTTCTAGCCACTTACTTCATAGTACACTACAGCTTGATAACCTGCTTGCACAGATGCGCTAGAAGTACCTTTTTGCAAGGTAGATATTTGAACTTATTTTCATTCAAAATCATGTGGGAAGAGCCTCACCATTGCTGATTTAACAGGCTTCTCGTGGTTGATGTAATTGTTTTTATCCAACTTTAGCATCACAGACATATTACTGTAATGTTCTTGAATACATCCCAAGAGGTTTCGTTGTTTACCAAGTCGGCATGTTTAGTCAAGCTGATACTGGTTTGTAAACAAAATATGATGTAATCATATCAAATATTAATGTTTTAGACTGTTAAGCATATCAATTTAACTGGAACTAATAACAAGCAGTTGTAGTTAAGATAAGCTGTCACTAAAACTGTGTGTTGCAGACTAAAAGTGACTAATACAATATTTGTTTGTTCAAAGTTCACTATAGAAAACAAGGCGATGATTTATAGAAATATTGTACAGCGTAACTATAAGAACATCTTAGGGATGTTTTTAACTTTAATTAATACGCGAAAGAAAACTGATGAACGAAAGAGTCAGTCTAAGCGCCAGAATTAGAAGAATTCTTTCCTTATTCTGTTAATACCGTTTCAAAATCGCTTGTGTGACGAAGTTTCTTTGGCGGTGAGTTTTTCTTTAACATCTCATCGGTACAAACTAATTTCCGAATAGAGGAACTGAATTTTCCAAAACAAGAACCCACGTTTAGGAGGTTATCTCCGTGCACTTAACCCTCTAACTCTCAGAAATGATTAACAAGTCACTCCACCTTATACTATCTGAACATTGTACACCAAATTGGTAATGAGAATACTCCAACTTATCAGGTAGAAGTTGTTATCATGATCTAACACCAAATTCTCGAAACTAATTTCCAAGGAAAAGTGTAGCAACCAGAGGGGAGAATTAACAATCAGATCTTGGCAATCAAAGGGTTTATTTCCCGTCAGTGATATCCAGTTTGCGATTGAAACTGAAAAACCTTCAATAGAAGATAAAGTTCCAAAAAATAAAAGCCCACGTTTTTGTGGTCATGGCCATACACTTGACTTCTTACAGTGATGTCGAGCTTACGATTGAAACTTAAAACTATCGTCGTATTTACAAGTACTTATATTGAAAACAAGCCTTTCATTAGAGTCTTCTCGAGTAACTTGTAACTGAAAAAGTTAATGAGGTAAGTGACAACCTTTCCGTTTTGAACGCAGAGGTCCGCGAAAAATTGAAAATTTCCTTCGTAATCATGGCATTCTCACGCCGCCATCAATCCGAATAACTTCACCGTTAATCATTTTATTTTCAATGATTGTTTGTACAAGCTGCGCAAACTCCGCTGGGTCTCCAATGCGCTTGGGAAATGGAACTATCTGAGCCATCTTCTGTTGTTCTGATGGTTCTGGTCTTGATTTGGTTAACATTGGAGTTAAGAACATTCCTAGTTTTTAAAAATAAAGTATTAATTCAATTTATCGTGCACTAACAATAACCTCGCAATGGAGTTGCAATTCAAGAAATTGCAGAAGAAATTAAGCCCGAAACTTCAGGCTTCGACGGGATTCAAACCCGTGGATACCACTGGCCCAGTTCAGCTTCAAAGTTGGTTCAAATGGGACCCTGTGTAAATAATAGCAAGCCGGGAAGCTACGTTTCCTACTATTTGCGAGAAGTGTGTGGGTTCTTTAACGTTCTCTGCTAACCAGTAAAGAGAAGATACAGAAGACGAGGCCTCCGGTTCTTCGTCCTTATCACAGAAGATTAGAACGTCTAATCATTTGTCAATGTTATAGTGAGTTAATTTAAGACCCTGTATGTTGATCCGGTCTGGGGCCTGAACCCTCGACCTCCTGAATGGCAGTCCAGCGCTTTACAACATGAGCTATTTAAACACGGTTTTTCCCACACGAACTCATTTTACAGTCATTTAGCCTTGGATGGTAATTGCTTCACATAAGTTTGCAGAGAAATTCAATTCATATACCTGGTGCAATTGTATTCACTCTTATACCATGCCGTCCTAGATCTCTCGCTAAAGGAAGTGTCATAGAGTTAATGGCTCCTTTTGATGCTGAATATGCCACCTTTCCTGACTGTCCATCATAGGCATGAACACTGGAGGTGTTAATAATTACTCCTCTCTCCCCACCCTCATCAGGTTCATTTGTAGCCATTTGTTGCGCTGCAAGCCGAGTCACATTGAATGTTCCCGTCAAGTTGATCTGCAAGTAACATTTCTGAGAGTAGGTAGTGGGTAATAAAAAAGTTTCACAAGCTTTTGATCAGCAAAAAAGAGTTTTGGAAAGGTTGTGCACATCAGCTATATTAGGTCAAACATCTCTTGCCATTCATTGAGGATAATTTTCTTGTCCAAAATAGCCCCCAACCCTTCCCTCATTCATTTGTCTATGTTGAAGACCAATTATGTACACAAACAGTTCAGTCTTTTTCAGTTTTGAGCAAAATTGGATCGTGGGGGGGGGGTCCTGGAAAGACACAAAAGAAAATTAAACTTGCTAATGTTTTCTAAACTTTTGTGCTTGATAGAAGTAGCTCACATCTTACTGGTAATAGGGGAGGGGGGTACCCTGCTTTGGTAGATGCTACCAACAGGCTTGATATTTAGGAACTCTGACATCAGGGGTCTTTCTTGAATTACATGAGGGCATCCATTTCTGAGAGGATTTCTAGAATGTAGAGTAACTAACAGCCACAAAATCTCCCACAAGGAGTAATATAAGTTGACTTAATCCTTGGATGAAAAGTCATTTTGGGTGTACATTCTATTAGAAATGGGGTTACATTAATATTTGAAGAACTAAGCACACAGCAATAACAAGTATAACCATGCACCCATCCCTGGCATCTTCCAGAATTTATCCAGGTTTCTGTTGTACAGGGACCGCGCAGCAAGTTTTTGAGTGGGGGGGCTAAAGAAGAATGCATGAAGGAAAATTTTTTTGTGAAATTATTTTTTGTTTAATTTATTTTTATTCTTGCAAAAAAGTGGGTGGGCTAAAGCCCCCCCAGCCCCTCCCTCTGCGCGGTCCCTGTTGTATGAGTCAAACAGGTGAATTCCTGGTCCCCTCACGAGGGATGATATTCAACAGGATTTCCTGATAATTCACCTGTGACCTTTCACACTTGTGTGTGGAGAAGGGAATCATTCCTCCCAAAAAAATTGCAGAGAAGACTCTTAACCAAGAGTATTCAGAGTCAAACCTTAAAAGGGTACCTGCTGTTTTGAAGTGTACACTTTCTCAACATTTTAATCCAAGATGACTTTTATCATTAGTTTGTCAAAACCCAATCTAGGAAAGGATTCCAGTAAGCATTTGAATGTCACCTGGTATTGCTGGCCTGCTCCCCCCTTCCCTTCTTATGGAATCAAGTTCATTGATCTTCACCTCAAAAACTGTCTCCCACTAGGGTGAATGTTTACAGATGCAATAGTCTTACTGATGTTATATTAAAAAAGATTATTAAGTGTCATTTGCTTTGGATTAAAACCAAACTGATAGTACCTTAGATATTTCTTCAAAAATATCAAGAGGGTGGACCTCACCGTCGTCTGACAAAGTTTTTGCTAGTTTCACTATACCAGCGGTATTCACAGCAATACGCAGTGGACCACACTTGTTTACAACTGTTTTAATGGCTTGCTTCACATCAGATTCTGATGAAACCTGGAAGACCAAAAAGGCTAATTATACTTGCAAAGTCCACTTTCCCCTGATTTAATACTCTGGCAGTTAAGACTTATGAATTTCTTACAAAGAATTATTGTGAAATGGAAAGACTGATAAAGAACCTGGCTTTAGTAAGGACCAGGAAGTAAGGAATTCTGTGAGACAATTCTTGACAAAGGCAGTGCTTGCTGAAGCGACCCTTGCCTCTCTCCAGCAAGCAAGCAAGCGGGTAGCAGAGAGCAAGCAACTTGGTTTTCTTAGGATGCAAAGCAAGATCGCTTGATGAGAAGAGATTGAGATACTGAGGGATTGGTACAGGACAGATCGACGAGGCTCGGTGTGTCGTGCCAGTCTCGACCCAATCTCCCTCCTACAACACCGTATGTTCATATATTTCCCCTGGGAAATCCTCCCCACTGTTTGAACCTATCCTTAAAGTTTTTATCTCCTAGAACTTCATAGAGAGTTGGACACGTAAGCTGATCCACGAGGTTCACTTTCTGTGTAGTCGCATACAATGTTCCCCTCCCTCCACCCCTTACCGGCTTACCCCTCCCTCTACACAACCTGGCCCTATCCGGCCCCATTTTTGGAAGACTAGAGCGGAATTCCTCCTTACATCAGTGGGAACAAATACACATTTCTCTCCAAGATCACCGGCAACTTTGTCTCCTTCACTCGATGGTTGATCTGCTATTACAACTCTACAGCCCTGCTGAACCAATTTCTGCGCAGCAGCTCGACCTAAACCATTAGCTCCCCCAGCGACGAGGCAAGCGACACCTTTAAGCACCGTCGCCATGTTAGAAATCGCCAGCAAGCGCTCAGCGGTGAACCGCACGAAGCACGTGTGCAAAACTTGTCGTGAAAAGCAAAAAATCTTTTTATGAACAGTGAGCCAAAACGGTTTCATTAGTCTTTTGAAGCCAGTTTTCTCTGCATCTTACGAAAGTGAAGGTGTTTTGAGATGTATCTGCCTGCAGGAGCGGAGGATTCCGACTCAGACGATGACGGCTTTTATATGGGCACTGTTCACAACACGAACAGTAATTTCGGCGTTACAAATGGTGACATAAACAGGAAAGATCATACACAAAACAACTTCCCTATGATTCCTGCAGGCGAAGAATTTGACAATGAAGACGGTGACGAGCTTGACTTTAATACTTTTCAGGCGAGGTCAATGAAAACGACGCCAGCCAAAATTAATAAGACATCAATTACAAATAACGACAGTCAACAAAATGAGATTAGTTTAAACTCAATGTCTGACAGATCTGGAGTAGGCAGAGGTCGAGGGCACCTGTTACAGAGAGGGAGAGGACGTGGGGGATTTTCAAGGCCATGTTTGGTAGCTAACCGCAAAGGAAAATCATCAAGAAGGTTTATAAACTGTCATAGATATTTCTAAGAGTTCCTCCACCCTTGTTATGTTTGTTGTTAACACTTCAGTCCTCTTAAGAGTGATAGATCATATGATATAAAGGAAATGGTCACCAACTAAAGAAGCTCTTGAATTTAAACAAATTCTCCTTGTCAGCACCAAAAGGAAAGTATAGAGAACAGTTTGGAGAATATGAAGTATCATTGATTACCTGGAAATTGACATGAGCCTCTACCAACACCCATGGTAAAATTGGGGCTAATTTGCCTATTCTTTTGATATTTTGAGGCAGTACGTGTTATTGTTGTTTCTTTCCATTGAAAATTTTTGTTTTTAAGATTAATTTGGTCTTATTTTTTGGAGTACTTACATGAAACTGTCCACTGGCCTTCAATCTTTCTGATGTGCATTTCTTGAGGAGATTTGTGTTCTTTTGGTGTGAATATGTGACCTTCTCTGCAACTATTGCTTGTACAATTATCCCCCCTACTCCCCCTGGGAAGGTTAACCTATAGCAAGCAAACAGGTTAGTGGAAGACCAATGGTAAAATCACCGATACTTGACAATATTTTCGAAGAAATCTGCTTTGGAGTGACTTTCTTCTTCTTTAAGAGTTACCATGGAGAGTTTTGGCTACAGCTTATAATTCTAATCAAAAGTCTCTAATTTTTTAGGAGGAATTTCTCATCAAACAATCTAAAAGAAGCAGAGGCTAAGAAAGCTGCTGCCTTGTTAGCTGTGGAGGATTTGCGAGTAGCAGTTGTGAGAGGAAATGCTGCTGCTGTTCAAAAATATCTGGACAATGGTGAGATGCAGTTATGGCTTATTTCTGTGATGGTTGTAAAAAATATCTCTTCCCTTTGATCATATCCATCCTAGATACTCTTCTGCAGCTCTTGAAGTGAAATGGCTTTGTTTGTTTGTTTTTTTTCTGAAAATAGGAATCGATGTAGATGTTCAGCTTAAATCAGGATGGACTCCATTGATGCTAGCTGCTAGTTTAGCCTTGCCAGATATGGTGGAACTTCTTGCCAATAAAGGGGCTAATGTAAACTTCCAGAAAGGTAATAACTGTTTGGTTGGAGAAAGTTAACCCTTTACACTCTAACATTGATATCTATATTCTCTATACTGTTCTGTATACATTTCTTAAAGTTGTGACAAGGAGAATTTGTTTAACAATCACAAGCGTCTTTACTTGATGATCATTTCCTTTATTCCCATGACCTGAATATGTGAATCAGAGTTGATCTTGTAAGGAGAAATCAGATGCTTGTCACTCTTAGGGTTAAAGACTTTAGATGATGGAATCATTTGCCAGTCCAAGCTAGTATGCATTGAACATGTGGTACACATATTGCTGATCTGCAATGGATTCTCCTGGTCAGCACCTTAGGAAATGTATAGAGAACAGTATGGAGAATATGCATACTGATGTTAGGTTGAAAAGGGTATTAACATTTTCCTTTCATGCTTGTATTCAGAGATGTAAATTTAAGTCAAATAAATGTAAAAGCCCTGTCTAACAAGACAATTACCCGAATTCTTAAGGATAAGATTTTCTAATTTTTAAGCGAGAGTATGCTTTTCTTATGCATGATAGCCTGAAAAACAATTTTGTTATTAGTGGAACTCGAAGAGCATGCTTGTTAAACCCCATGGGTTTCATGGTCGATGTCAATGTTTTTATCCGACATTAGTTTTGGAGAAATGCTTAAAGAAAATATCGTAGAACGTTTCATAATGTAAAAATGTGACCAGCGAAGCTTTATTTCAGTCAGTTGTAGCTTTGATCACAGAGAGAAATCTTATTAGGATCGTGTTTTATCAAGATTTGGTAACTGCTGCATTCACAGCAGTATTTGGTGGAGGGCTTCCTTCAAATTCCATCCATCAACTTTTCAGTCAAATTTACGTGGGCACGGTTCCCTTATGGCAGCCACCGTCATCATCACCTTTCCCCACTATCACAAATCTAGCTCACAATGGAATAACTGTCCAGAAGCCCATCCAAAATATCGTAGTTGACTACGTAGACCCAGCAGAGCTTGATCATCGATTCCATTTTGATTTCTAGAACGTCATACTTCCTGATTGGAACTGCTTTAGAGGGAACTATTACTAATCTTACCAACGACCGCACGGTTGGTACAGAATAGCTTTAAACGTTCTTGAAAGACATCAGGACTGCAACATTTGACTCGGTCTTAACGGTCTGCGTAATACACCAGCCAAAGGAGAATGGCCCGTCTCGTATCGAGTTCGTTTGCAACATCATACGAGAAGGTTTAAGGCCCGACCCGAGTGCAAGGTTTGGCATCGGCATCAACAGCAGCCCTGTTATTTAAATGATTGAACGGATAGGTTATGCAAAGGCTTTTAAACATAATGGTAAAGTTTACAAAGTTGCGCTACAAAATCGTGTCGATCCTGATCACCTCCAGATTATCCCAGCTGTATTTACAGGTACTGGAGCTGACTACTGGCTGTCACAATCTGGAGGCATACGTCCTTATGGTGTCTCATCAAAGAAGTTGCAATTGGATGCTAATTCTTAGAACACAGCAGCGACGCCGATGAATAAGGGAGAAACATAATATATATACTCGCACGATACAATTTCCTTGACGCAAAATTTGCAACTCTCACACATTCCTGTTAGCATGAATACGATATTCAGCCTCATACATTTGCGGAAAGTTCCTGAGTTAAAGGATTATTGCAAACACATTCTGGCTCGCAAAATCAAACGAATATTGTCAGACGAAATCATTGACCATGACAAAGGACCAGCATGAGTCGCGTCCGCTTCCTCAACAAGCGCACTAACAAATCACACGTGTGAAATACAAAGTGTGAGATCCTAAGAGATTAACCAGAGTTACACAGAATGAAATAAGCTTGGATGTAAGTGGAATTGTGTAATGGAGAACCGAGTGATTAAAGAAAAGCAGAAAAAGACAGTTTGAGAGTCTTAATGCCTTTCGCCGGGCGTGGTGTGCTCGATAGCTAGTTTACCCTCCCTCCCCCGTTATAGTTTGACATACTTGGTGGAGGATTGAGTCGTAACACAGTAATAGGGACCTTTAGTAGTCAGGACGGCAACGCCAAGGAAGACTTCCATTAAAAAATTAATTTCTGCCGTTAATTAGAATTTCAAACATGGCTGCATTTGTTTACCGTCTCATACGGCGCCACACCTCAACTTCAGCATAACGTATAAAAGAAGCATTGAGTTCCAAATATAAATTAAAATAATTTGCCGTCGCGGTTTCGGTTTGCAGACGACGCAAATTGTGTTGCTTTCACGTTGTTGTTTTGCATAGGATGGCTAAGAAATGTACAAAGTTTTAAAACGCACGTGTTGAGTTATTGTTCTGTCTATTAGATCTTTTGTCTTCCATGTCCTCATTGCCGTCGCCGTCGTGATTTGCTTAGGGTCCCTATTAAGACGCGTAGAACTCCATCCTGGAAACGTTAACGATCCTATTTGGATAATATTTTCTCCGTTAGTGATTAAACTAACAACCCTAGTGTTCCTTCAGAAGTCCCCGGATTACTACTTCCCCGACTTAGGCTTGCCAGGAACCACGGAAAGGGTGTGTTATAACGGGAACACGACCACAGTCACGGGTAACGGGACATGTGAGACTGTGCTGTGGGCGCGGGTCCAACACGATCCAAGTTAAGGAGGATTACAAGTGCAATTGCAATTTTGTCTGGTGTTGTGATGTGAAGTGCAGCACGTGTAAAGGAACTGTTGAAAAAAACCTCTGTAAATCGCCCGAGGAGTATATTTCTGAAGGAAACAGTAAGCTCGAGAAAGACGCCGAAACGGCGGGTAAACAATCGCGAAAAAGAAAGAACAAGGAACAAAGTGTTTTACCTCGCTCCGACAACAACAATCGAGAAGTGAAGAAGATCAAAGGTTAATACCTCCCATTGAACTGGAGAAGACTGACAAAGGAATGACAACAATGAAGTCGGTGAAAAAGCACAATAGACAGAGAAAAATTATATGTAGTTGTAAAGTAGGCGAATTTGAGCAAGTGCTGTATGTGCTTTAAAGTCATTGTGTCATCGAAAACAGTAACTTATCTTTGCTTTTCAATAGAGACTGGAGGTTAACAGTTTGGCATAAGAAGCTCGACACTATACCCTGCATTCAGTTAGGCATTGTAAATAAAAACAGTTTTCCTTATATGTGTTAAAACTTCTTTTCGTAGCCTTTTGCATGGAAATCGTGGAAGAAATAATTATGAACTCATTGAAAAGCTTTTAAAATATTAAAATATCAACCAAATAAAACATCAAAATATCAACTTGATGATATATTAAAATATTGTGTCATTTCCGTCAAATTACAACGAAAAAAAAGAAAGAATTGGAATTCAACGTTGTTCGCTCCAACTTTGGTTTA